TAGTGCTCACTAAGGATAGTAGGTGAAAATAGATCAGGACGATTTTATCATTTCAAACAGCTGATGAAGGAGCTCTCTGCCTTGCCTATTTCAGTATTTTGTCATTACTGAAAAATCATAAAATTAAAAGAGTGCTTATGGACTCTCAGTTAAACAAGAAACCATGAGAATGCTGCTGGGAAGAGTGCAGAGTTCAGTCTTAGGCATACACTAAGAAAAATGGTATAGAATTCAGTCAGTAAATGGTAGAAGTATAATCTAGAATTTATAAAAAATTAATCTTGCCCAATCAACTTTTTTTTCATTCTTTGACAAATGTGGCTAATGAAGATAACACACCCAGTTATTAGACTTCTGGTGTAACCCACTTTATACTATTAAAACATGACTTGGGCAAAACTTAGCAGGCAAAGCCATGCAAAAAGCAGGCAAACACAGCAGTCATCTAATCACAAAGGCCAAAAGTAATTCTGCAGTTGTACTTTGTATCACACATTCCCATGCAGCTGTGCTTTTCAGAAGCGCTTTAGTCCCTGTGAGCTCTGCTGTAATCCAGAGACAGTACAGGCAGGTAGAGAGATGCTGTGAGCAGCTATAGGACATATCAACAGTAGCAAGCAGCCAGATGGCTGTCAGCACTTCTTTTTTTTCCTCAAAATCACATTCATGGGAAGAGCTAGTACCAATCTTGTCACTAGTAGCCTGGTAGTGAGGAGGCTTGCTCTGGGTCTAGGAAACAATTACATTTTCAGTTTGGCTTCAGGTGGTTCAACGTGGTGTGCAAGTGTTTGGGAGATAACACAGTGCTGGGCCTGGGTATTGCTGAAGCATCTTTTCTTCTTTGCTGGGCCATTTGATGGACAAGAGTTTTTCTAGTCCTTCCAGCTTTGGCCACATCTAAGTTTGTTGTTTGGCTGCCACAGCTCTACATAATCCAATTTCATCTTCAATCTATATTCAATATTGTTTAGCTCTGTGTAGCTTGGACTGGTGCCTTTTATCTCTGTTTCCCATATCTATGCAATGATGAGTTTGGACTTACTAACTATATATTCAGACCTCAGATATCTTGGCTGTGTACTAAATGACAAGGGTATTAAACCACACGGAGTGCTCAGCAAAAAAAGAAACTCTTCACTCTTATCACTTCCCCAGTGCTGTGTCTCTCTGCTGACTCTCACAGGAAGCATAATACTAGGGCTGGGCTGTTATTTAGTCCATGGACAAGTGCATTGTGTGACCCCTTTCCTTCCATTCTGCTTTGCCATGTTTATTTCTTAGCTCCTTTCTAATGCCAACTCTGCTGAATTTGCAGCCTTGTGCACCTTGTGCCCACAAGCTCACCCAAATGCTGCAACCAGGTGCCACAAGGTTGAACATGGCACATCACACGTGGCATTTTGCAGCGTTTGTCTTCAAGTTCTCAATCACAATCCCTCCAATTCCCTCCCAGGAACTGTAATAGTTAATTACTGTATCTGCTCAAACATCTTTTCCCCAGGTTTTCATTCTGGTCACCACTTGCAGATTTTTGTTGACAAGATCTCTTTTTCCTGCAGTTCCTCCTCAATAATGTCCAACATGACTGAGGAGGCTTTCTTTGGTTCTCTCCCTTTGAGTACTTCTGACCTAAAACCAGCCCACTTGTTATGATGCTATAGGAAGTGCCAGGGCATGCCCTTAGGGCAGATGATTGGCTTTATTCTTTCAAATATCTCTGGGTGTCTTCAACGCGAATTTGTATGTTAGCTGCCCCAAGAGTTTCCCAGGCATCAGGCAGGTGGTGCTAACCTTTCCTAAATATCAGCAGTCTTCCCTTGTGGGCTTTGTTCTGAGTAAGTCCTTAAGAATCCCAGTTTTCAGGATATAGCTGGAATTCTTCCTTAGTTAATAGACATCTAAGTAAACATCTTTGCTCATCTCAGTTCCAACTTGTCTGATTTCAGCCTTGCACTCTCTCCAGCCTTATGCTGTGATCTTGGATGTCCTCTTCTTTGGTGTCTTTATTGAGGTTTCCATAAAGTACAGTTTTGAGAGTCCTCTTAGTGCCCAGCTGGTCTTGAACGAGAGTAGAGGAGACCAGTGCTGTCTAGTGCCTATCGCTGCAGAAGCAGCTCCATGCTTTGCTCCTGCTGACAGCCTTCTAGCTGTGACATAGCCCTGCCTGAAGAAGCAGGTTTTGGCTTTACTCCGGTGCCTTTTCTCGGACTGACTGTGCCATCTCCAAAGAACAGATCTGAGGGAAGACTTGGGGTTGGAGTCTGGATGGAAGAGAGAGTGTAGGGAGTTGAGATGACATCTTTGTGTGCTTGTTCATGGGACTGAGGATGTGCCGCAGGAGAGCAGACAAGGCCTGAGGATATCATACATGTAGCAGGAGAACACAGAAGAGAGCAGTTAGTGAGAGAGAGAGAGTTGGTGTTCTGGCCTGCAGATCTGGGTGCCCCAGACTGGAAAATTGGATAGCACAGGCAGGCAGCCCTGGGAGTTTTGGTTTGTCTTGGTGCTCCCAGAGGTCTGCGTGCACACAAATTGTTGTATCACTTCTGAAGTGTATGGGAAGCCTGGATACCTCCTTCAGAGCAATGTGCCAGAACTATTTGCGCTCTTGCACACCGTGAATACGTTCTGTGGCCCAGCTTTCCATGTTAGTAGTGACTTGTGTCCTCACTGCTCTAGCATGGGCTTCAGTTCATGCAGATCTCTGGTTTCCCTGAATCTTTTTTGATCTACACTGTCCTGGGCTCAGAGCATGTGATTTTGATCTTCTCTCACAAGTTCATCGCACTCGTTTTCTTTTAAAAGAGGTAAAAAGATAAAAGGTTTTTATTTTATGTTTTCTTCTAACCACCTGTGATCTCTGTAAAATTATATTCTTCCTTTCCTCTGATCTCCAAGTGTGAAGTTTTGGCTCACTGCTTCTGATAAGTCAGAATCGCTATTGTTGTGAACATCTCTGTCCATTTACTGTGTCTGAGAAGCAGAACAGCCCAGACAGGGCAGCTGCTCCCTTTCCAACTACGTGTCTTTCCACCCAGCAGTTCAAATATGTAATGCACGGTGACTTCTTGGTTCTCTACCGGAGAGCCTGTGCTCCTCTTTGCATTGCAGATTGCTGCACAAGTCACAAGTCTAAAGAGAAAAGTGCTTCTTGAAGCTTCCTTATGATTATTTTGTAAATTTGCTTCTGGTTACCTTCTGCAGCACATGGCTGGGGCTGGTGATGGTCTTGTGCAGATTACTGAATAGCTGTCATCTGAAAATGATCAACAACATCAATTAAACCAACCACCAAAGAGACTTTCCTGATCTTAAAGACATCCTTGATTTGGGTATGGGGCAGGGTGGAATAACTTCTGCAGCATTATTCAGTAATCTCATTTGGAAAGGTGAGGTTAGCCTGCTAGCAAGGAATCCTACCATGCAGGACGTATGTTAGAGACACTTCAATCCCAGCATGCACAACCTTATTTACAAATGGCAGCACAAGAGTGTAAATGATCACATTACTGTTTAAAGCTATGGCTGCTGTGCATCGAAAGTCACTGATTACTGCTGTCTTGCCTAGGTGCCAGCAAAGACCTAGCTTTCCTCAACACAAACATTTCCTGTCTTCATCAAGTGTTTAAAAGTTTTTCAAGCTTAACTTGTTCAGGTATTTTGGCAGTCATTGCAGGCTTCCAATTTCCTGCCATTTTAACTTGCCAAAGCAGGATCTGAATATTGTGCTCCCACTCACACCATTTTCCATTTGTACAAACCATATTTTCTATATGTAGAAAGAGATCCCTCTTGAACATTTTTCCCAATCCCATTCCTTCTTCTAAAGCATCCCCTGCTCTCCGTTTCAGCTTAATCCTGCCTCAACCAGCTTTCCAGCCTGAGCCAAAGTACCCGTCTTTCTGCTGGCAACTGGTGTGCAGCTTTTTGGAGCAAAGGGCAGTGCACAGCCTGTATGCTTTACCCAGCAATACACTGCCTGTGTCTGTATTAGCAAAACAATATCCATGGCTATTACCAGGAATAAGAGAAGCACACCTGTAGCCACAGTAGCATTTAGGGATGATGTTAAGAAGAGTGCCGAGGACTTGACACCCACACTGCATGCTTTCTAGGGGCAGGGGTTGCTTTGGACTACTGTCATGTTCATCCTATGATGCCTGTTTGCAGCTAGAGCAGATCAGATGTGCTCTGGAAGTGCATCTTCTAGTCTAACTTCATCCAAAACCAGGGTAAACAACTGAGAGATTCTCTTCAAAGGGACATTCCTGATATGAAGTAAAACACTAATGTAGATGCACCCTCAATCATCTAACAGGGGGCCCAAGCTCTCTTGCTCTTATGGGAGGCAGTGTCTAGAGAGGTGTGTCACATAGTGATTTTGGAAAGACAGAGATAGCTGTATCACCATTTGGGAATTTTATTTTAAAGAACTTTATGGCCTACTAAGATACCGGGCATTGCGTGGCTGAGATAAAAGGGGATGAAAAATACATAAAGTCAATGTACTATTTTTTGCATTTAATGCAGATGAATTAGCTGGCAGCTTTCCAATGGTAGCAATCAACAGGGAATCCTCATATGAAGGATATATGTGAACAATATTCAAGGTATTTTATCAGAATTCTGGAATAATAGTAAATAAAAGTAGTTGCTAATAAAAATCGCAGAAGACTCAAAATATGAGTGCAAGTCACTTTATAGAAATATAATGATCCACTTAGAAGGCTTTAGAAAAGAGCAAGTCTTAGGATCTCAAATCCAAAACAAAAAACAAACAAAAAAACCCCAACCTTGCAGCAACAGCCATAAAGAACTGAAGTGTTTCACTCATAAAGGGGAGGTTAAAGAACGAATAAATCAAGACCTATAAGTGCTTAGATGTTGGAACACTTAGCAGACTTTGAAAGGGAAAAAAAAAAAAAAAGAATCTAAAGCTGCTAAATTCAGTAGCAATTGAATTACAAATTCAATAGCAATTCAATAACAATGGGTAAAACACAGAGCTAGCAATGGCATGGCCTAATCATTGGCACAATTTACTGAGCGTTACAGAGGATTTTTCAATTGCTTGAAATTTTTAAGCCTAAACTGGATGTCTCTTCCTAGAAAATGCGCTGCATCTGTACCATAAAGACTAGGCTCCCCACAGGATTTGCTGTTGGAGATTTCTTGGCTGATTATGCAGGAAGCTGGACTAAATTCTGTTATCTGAATGGTACCTTCCGTGTAGAACATCCATGAAGTCTACAGACAATATTTTTAATGTTACAATCAAATACTGTTTGTTTACATCAAATATAAAACTTTCAAAAATCTTTGCCCTCTAGAAGCCTTCAGTTTATCGTCATGTTAACTTGTGGGAAACAACAAGAAAGCTTACTGTGCTTCTCGTTACTTGGCTTGTTCCAGATTTTATCACTTATTGTTAACAAAATAATAAATGGCAAAAATGTGGCAGATTCTGTTTAAAAGTAGATTTCTGCTCCAGCTATCAGTCCCATACATTTTTATAGCTCTTTAGATTCCTGCAGCCTTGGCACACCTCAGGGCTGAGCTGAGTTAAGATCAAATTGGAGTTGCTTTGCAATTTCAGGGAATGGCAGTACTGTCATTTGCAAATACCAGTTTCCTAGGTGGTTCTTCAGGCTGCTGTGCTGGGGGGATGCCGTCATTTGAATGAGAGCAAACAATGTCCCTTACCACTTTAGAGTTCCCTTAGTATTCTAAGAATAAAGTTTAATGATAAAATTGTAATAAAGTAATTCCTTTCCTGTTCCTAAATTCTCCATGCAGTTGCCATTATAATGCAGTGTTGGGAATGTGTCTACCTCCCCTTTATCTCCAGTCTCCTTGGGAAGATCTACAAAAATTTACTGACTTCTTTTCAGTTTTTGTCACTCATCTATTCTGGAACATCTTTCATATGTGGACACATCTCATCCTGCTTCCCATTTCTAGGGAATGGATTCTTGAGTGTATACAGTAAATAAGGAATATATAAAATTTTCTCAAGGCTATTCATCCAGCCTGCAGACTTATAAAAACCTAAGAGGGAAGAAAGAAAATCCAAAGCTGTTCATGTGGCTAAACACTTTTCTTTTCACTTCTAGGTCCACCTGTTGAGCCATTGGAACCAACTAGGCCTTTACCAACTCTTCCTGTTCGCAGAATTCATTCTACTTCAGAAAGAAAACATGACAGACAACCGAGACCTCCTAGTCCTCCTCTGGGTGATAGGCCATCTCCTCCAGGCACAAAACCGAATATCTGTGATGGCAACTTCAACACTGTGGCTCTCTTTAGAGGAGAAATGTTTGTTTTCAAGGTACTAAGAATTCTGACTTAACCACAAGGCTTTCCACTGGGGAAGAAAAATAACAGTATAAGAAGGCAACTACAGTAACATTCAAAATGTCTCTAAAAATAACCCTGTTCTTCCGAAGCTAGTGAATGAGAAATGTTAGCAGGAAGTGTAAGCACATTGGATCTGTAATATATATAAACACCTGCCTGATGAGATTTGCAAGCTAAACAAAATGTCCAGGCAGCCTGTGCGCCAAAAAGTGAACCAGCTGAATTAGCAGAGTTCAGATGCCATCAAGATGAGAAAGGAGTTGCTTGCTGCATAGTCAGAAGGCAATGCCAGTGACAGAAGAGAGATTAAGCCTCATTCGTTCCAGAGATGGCATCAGCTGAAGCCTCTGCTTCAGAGAGCGTGCTTTTCTGTTGGGAATTCATAGCACTCAACCTATCTGAAACTCTCAGGCAGTTTGAGTCAACCTTGCTCAAAAATTATCACCAAGGAGGAAAGAGAGGCTGGTTGCTCCATAACCTGCATGTTAGAGCACCTTGAATCTAGAAGACCAGGGTCCCACACTCAAAATACCTGTACCTTACACTCTGCCCAATAAGTATGAAAAAGTGGACAGGGAAATATTGAAGGTCACTAAGTGGGCAAACCCTGTCACTTGCAGAAAATGCCTGAACTGTAAATACTGGAAGTCTGGGACAGTATTTGAGAAATCTATCGCATGTTCTTGCCCTGCTCTTACTCTTCCCTAAGCATCCACTGTGACTTTTAAGTGACAGTCTTGATAGTATCTAAGGGAATTGCTAGTTGATCATCAGTCGCACTGGGTCAAGCGTGACACTGCAGTAGGAGATGTGCAAGAAGGTCACGCAGAGATGCGTTCATAGAGCTTCCTTCTGCTCCTCTTTCCTCCTATTTCCTACTTTTCTTCCTGGCCTTTTTGCTCATTGTCAGCAATGAACTTCTCACCCTTTGGGGGAAAGCACAGTGCTGCAAAATGAAGCTTTTTTTTTTTTTTCTTACTAGAGATACTGTTGGGCTAGGTTAGAGCGGTCATCTGAACCAGGACTTTTTGCTTATTCAGCTTTGGCAGGGATTAGTAGTGCCTGATGATGGACACCTCCTCCCCCAATCTCATGTGACTGCAAAATAAAAATACTCAAACAGTCTAAAAGACCATTCTGTTCTTCTCAGGATCGCTGGTTCTGGCGTCTGCGCAACAACCGAGTGCAGGAGGGCTATCCCATGCAAATTGAGCAATTCTGGAAAGGCCTCCCTGCAAAGATTGATGCAGCCTATGAGAGGTCTGATGGAAAATTTGTCTTCTTCAAAGGTACTGTATATTTGGGTACAAACCTACTGTCCTTGCCTCAAATCACACTTTTCTTTCATAGCAAAGATTACAAAAGCACATAAATATATAGTCAAACATTACATATATTATTATATTATTATATATATATCAAGTTTCAATGGTAATGGCATGCCCATGTCCTTTTTCTGAGGGGAAATTTGCTGTTTGATACTCTTTCTAAAGGCACTACGTATCCATTCTTATGCTGAGGCCATTATTAGATCCCTAACATTTCTGGATGCAATCCTGTCATTTGGGAGTAAGGTATAAGCAAGACAGAAAGCACCACCAAGCCTCTGTATAAAAGCACAGTGCTTGCTCTTCTGAAATAATGCATGCAGTCTCAGTTCCACACCTCAATAAAATATTAAAACTGGAGAAGCTTCAGAGAAAGGCAGCAGGATTGGTCAAACAAATGGACTAACCTCCTACAAGGAACAATTAAATAGCCTAGAACTCCTTAACCTCAATAAGAGATGACCAAGAGAGGCTATGAGCTAAGATCACATAAGCCTAGAGAAGTTGAATGGGAACAATTGTTCACATCCTTGCCAAAACAAGATCCAAGAAACATCAAATGAAAACAATGAGGATTAAAATAAACAGGAAGCAGCAGCTTTTTCATATAACCCATAGCTAAGCTGTGGAAGTCCTCATCATATCGTGTTTCATTGTGGTTATTTTATATTTTTATCAATTCATCTATTAAATAGGCAAATCCATATGTTTGTGTCTCCTCTTCATCTCTAGGAGATAAATATTGGGTTTTTAAAGAAGTGACAGCAGAACCAGGATACCCACACAGGCTTGTGGAGCTGGATAGCTGTCTTCCCCGGGAAGGCATTGACACAGCTTTGCGTTGGGAGCCTGTAGGTAAAACTTACTTCTTCAAAGGAGACAAGTACTGGAGATACAATGAAGACAAGCGAGCAACAGACCCAGGATACCCAAAGCCCATCACTGTGTGGAGAGGAATCCCTCAGGCTCCACAAGGAGCTTTTATCAGCAAAGAAGGCTGTATGTATCTGCCATCACTACAACTATTAGATTGGTTTGCCTAGTTTGGCAGTTTGTTTGTTGAAAGTGAGTTGTTTGTTAACGAAGATTTGCACTGAGATAGAAATTGAGTCTCAGAAAAGCCACCCTGACACCTCTGAGCACAGGGAATCTGTGATTCTTCCTGATCGTCACCCCCAACCCATGAACCTTCTCAACTGCTTAACAACATTGCTGGAATTCCAGCTCTTTGGGGCAGTGATGTGAGACAAGGGCTGGAAGGCTGCAGTGAGAACCAGCCAAGCAGGAAGTCAGAAGCAAGTGACCCAAGGCTCCCTCCCTTTTTAAATCACTTGAGACTGATTGGAAAAGGAGTTTTGGAGTCCTTTGGGGAGGCAAGGGGTACTCAGGCAATATGCATCGTAAAGCTTTTAATAACAGTATGACTAGACTGTTTTAATGAAAGTCAAACCTTCCAGATGCTGTAACCAAAAGGACTGATCTTATTCAGCATCTCCTCGCTCAAGTTGGGTGGAAGGCACCATACACATCTAAGTATTCCCCGAAGCTCTGTCATGCACAAGCAGCTACTCATTCTGTCACTATGTGACTCTCTAATGAGGAGCACATATTTGCAGATGCTTTAATAGAAAACAAATTATTGCATCACACTTGCTTTGAAACTGGGGGAAGAGGGGACTAGTGAGACTAGTGTTTTATTATTCTCAGCTTAAATCATGATCATCCACTTGGCTTGGCCAAGCGGAAAAATACAAATCAACGTGGGCACTGATGGCAACACAGCTCCCACAGGTTGGAGCTTCTCCTTTAAATCCTAGCTCCAAAAATGACTTAGCATGGCTAGATTTGTGGAACACCCTTGATGAACACCTTATTTGCCTAAATAGCCACCACCCTCCTAGCTTTTCAGGTGCTCTAAACATCACATAAACAAAAACTCACAGATTATCAAGTGGGAAATGGTGTGGTGAGTAATATTCTGTTCTCTTTTTCTTTTCTAGTTTATACTTACTTTTACAAAGGGAAGGACTATTGGAAGTTTGATAACCAGCGGCTGAGTGTGGAGCCAGGCTACCCCAGGTCAATCCTCAAAGACTGGATGGGCTGTAACCAGAAGGATGTTGAACGGAGCACAGACAGACACCTCCCCCACGATGATGTGGATATTATGGTGACAATAAATGATGTGCCTAGCACTGTAAATGCAATTGCAGTTGTCATCCCTTGCATTTTGTCTCTGTGTATCCTTGTCCTGGTGTACACAATCTTCCAGTTTAAGAACAAAGAGGTGCAGCAAAACGTTGTATATTACAAAAGACCTGTCCAGGAATGGGTATGACACAGCCAGCTGCACATTTCCATTCATTGCTCGAATGAGGACTACAGGAAAGAAGAAGAAGAATAATTTTTAAAAATTGCATCTGAAAGCCTATCAAACAGAACTATTTCAGTGACGTGCGACGTGCAAATTTTGGACCTCCCGGGACAGAAAGAAGCAGAAAAACTGGAAAAAAAAAATACAGACAGCCTTGCAGTATGGAGTCTTTTACCTTCTTGCTGCCTCGGCCATGTTTCACTCTAGGTGTGCTGTTCCCACAAGCTCGCTCTGCAATGGCAGAGACTTCGAGACAGGCTTTCTTCAGACTTTTTCAACTGACCCAAGAAACTTCCCTCAGTGCCCTGCACCAATGCTCCCTGTTAAACCCAGCATTCTCCAGTGTAGCTAAACCACTTCTCAAGACTCATTTTTTTAATAGCTGTCTCATAAATGAATTAAGAACATTAAATCTATGAACAGGAACACTTCAGTATCGTACGTATAAGGCATTCTGATGCTGAACCATTCTAAAAGTTGCTAGTTTATTACAAAATCCAGGGAATTACCTGGATACAATTTTCAAATACCTGCTGGTCAGAGGTTTTGTACATTCATAATTAATCGATGTTGCCGTTCAACACAGTGCAAAGAAACCATTAAGTGCTCCAAGAGGTAACTGAGTGTAGCGCAGAAGCTCAGGAAGCACCAAACCAGTCAACATAACATTACCTAGTAACAACAAGCCCTAGACTGGGACAATCTGAAGACAAATAATTGGGTCTAAAGAAACCAGTCATGGGAATGCATGTTTTTGTTTTGGGAGCCATTCATGAAAGGGATATTTAAATACCATATGATGCTGTTTTAAGCTCCCACCAGCCAGAAACAATGAACTATTGATTACAAATATAATGAAAAAATATGTATAAAAGTACATTGCACTCTGCCCCTGTTAAGATGCTGGGAAAAGATGAATTGTTGTTATGTGGCATGTGTAACTAGATTGTGGAAATTGTTTGTTGGGTTTAAGCAGAATGGAAATGTTTGTTTGGAGTGAGATCGTCATTTTATTTTGCTGAAATGGTCAAGATACAGTAATAATTAGGCCTCTCTGTAGAACTAAATCCAATCTCTGTAGATGTTACAAATGTTGGATGACTTAGACATTTTTTTTGTTGTTTTTGCTCACCTCTTCACTTGCAAGTATTTGGCAAAGATTAAGGGACGCATGCCATGCAGTAGAAGAGTTCATCACTAGCCCCATTTGCCAGAAGCACAAGAATCAGAGAAATGCTAAAGAACTATCTGAATGTTCAGTTAGTAACTTACCACAAGTCTCTTCCTACAACAGAAGCTTTTGTTCATCTCAGTGCTGAATTGTTTATGCTGTGGTGCCTACCCGCAAACTTAGTCCATTTTACTGTTGATGCTGATTTTCCTACCATAAATCAGAGTGGAAGAGGACTCTCTTGCAATGCAATGTAATGATGAATTCCGGCCCTGTAGGAAGGTGCCATTCACATAGCACATATAGTGCTTTGAACGGTGACTGTAAGGGATAGGTGATTAGTGTAGGCCCTCTACCAATAAGTGAATTTTAATGAGTGCATTGGAAGCACAAGGCACTGACCTCTCACTATAAAAAAATAAAATAAAACCAGCTTCATGAAAAGTCAGCTATGAGAAAAATCAAAGGAATTTTCATTTTCTTGACGATGCTATAAGTATTTGTTATTACAATGATGAGGAAGCAGGATTAAGAAAGATTTTTAGCATTCTAAAGTTCTAACTAGCACTCAAATATTACTCTGAGGAAAATTAAATAGACAAATAGATACCTTTAGTGAGGCCTACATACTGAGTGGTCTCAAATTGCAGTTTGTCCTTTATATTTAATTTTCATAGCCAAGTGGTTTATTGTGTTTAAACATAATTGCAACCTAAGCAAATGCGAAATTTTGAATTTTGGTGAAAAATGTGATAGTGTCTCATGATGGATGAAGGAGTGCAAAGGACCAAATAAAATCAGAGCTATGAATTAGACCACACCCTACCCACGCTGCTGAGTACGTTCCTATGTGTCCAATATATGCGGTAGAGTGCGCACAACAAATGCCACAGCCACACGCTACCTTGAACTCATCTGTATGGTGCCATCTCTTTTTGGAAGCTGTGGCAGCCCAAAGCTGTGAGCATCTTGCAACAGCCATAATTAAAAAAGAAAAAAAAAAGGGGAGAGAGAGAGAAAAAGAAAGAAAAAAAACTAATTTACAATCTGGAGAATTGTCTGTTTTTATTTTTTCCCTCCCATGCCCAGAGGCAGACTGTTTGAACCTGAGCAGCAAGTGCAGGTTTTCAACACCATTTCCCATAACTTGCTTTGGGCAAGCACAGGAGGCGTGGGCTAATGATCAGCCAGTGAAGGGGTTGAGAAGTGGTTGCCAAGGTTGGGCTTGGGCACATTCTGGTTAGAGGCCTGGAGCTAGTGGTGGCCCCCAGGGGTCAGTACTGGGTCCAGTGTAGTTCAGCTTCTTCATCAAGGACCCGGATGAAGGGACAGAGTGCCTCTTCAGCACGTTTGCTGCTGGTACCAAGCTGGGAGAAGTGACTGACACCACAGAGGGCTGTGCTGCCATTCAGAGGGATCTGGACAGGCTGGAGAGGTGAAAGGAGAGGGACTTCATGAAATTCAACAAGGGAAAGTGCAGGGTCCTGCACCTAGAGACCCCAGGCACCAGGACAGGCTGGAGACTGACCTGCTGCATCTCTGCAGAAAAGGACCTAGGGGACAACAGGTTGACCACAAACCAGCAATGTGCCCTTGTGGCCAAGAA